TGTTTGGGTTTTCTTCTTCATCAAGCCTTCTTTTAACTAGTCACAGTGTGTTCTAACTAAAAGAATAGAATGTTTTTGTACCTGCTGGGTCTTTAAGGTCACACCTTCACTCTGCCGGCTCAGACACTGCGAGGAGATCTATGACCCCCCGCAGGAGGCTGAGTTAGACAGGCAGCAAAACTGGCCAGAGATATTCCATTCCATATATCTATGTAAGCTCAGAGGAAGGTCAGAAGACACAGAAGACAACTTCCTTCCTGCTTCTTCTTCCCTTTTGTTCCATCCTTGGCTGGCTTCCAGGGAGGACTCTGTCCATCCATTCTCCAGTGTTGAACCCCAGGCTTGAGCTCTCCTGACCCTCATCACTCTCTGCTCTCTCCAGCAGCTCTGGGATTTTTCGGGACTGTTCACAGCTCAGGGGAGTGCTGTGGGAGTTGCTGGGGGTGGGGGGAGGGGAGAGGTTTTTACATGTATCTGAACATACTTGTATATAATTGTATATATTTTCTTATATCATTAGTGTTTAATTAAAGCTGTGTAGTTTAGTTTTCAATCCAGCCAAGTCTCTCTCTTTTTCTCTCTCTCCTTCCCTATCTGGGTGGGAGGGGGAGGGGATCGAGAGCATTGTTGTCAGACCTGAGTCAAACGGTGACATTCTGTTATCAAGAGTTAAATAAAAAATTAATAGAACTGCTACCTTGAAAATCCTATACAACACCTGGGAATTCTTTCTTAATCTAACTCTCACTACAATGATTTCAGGACATTTTAAAAGCTGTTACTTTCCTCTTCCCTCTCTTCACATTCATTTCCAACTGTTCCATGCGTCCTTATTTCCCACATCAACACAAATCTGAAAGTGTTTTTGAATTACAAGTAAAAATGTAGAACTAAGTAAAGTGTCATTCCTTTTACCCCCCAAATTTGGGAAGAATAATGCCATTTAAAAACAACACAGAGCAGAGTACCTGAAAAGACATTCCTATTTACCCTTCAGAAGACGCCTGAAGTAGATTAAGAGGTATACACTCAGTATTTCAGAGATCCAAAATGGTCCATAGAGAAATCAAGTGTCAGTCTTGTTCATTATATTCCTCTGCTATTCCTTCTAATAGCATGAGTTAGTCAGCCCCAAGACACCATTTATGTTCCCCTTACCATTGCATATTTACTTCTCTCTCCAAACTAAAAAGGACAGTGAGTGTGTAGTTATTGCTTGCTTCCATCGTGATTCATTTTTACTAAAATTCAGGAGAAGCAGACTTTCTGGAGACAAAGAGGTGTGAGGGAGGGTTCAAAATTAAGAATGTTATGGACTGAAACATGTACTTTCTTATTCTTCTTTCCTAAAATTATTTATTTGCCATTTGTTCTCCATATCCTGACACATCTACCCTGGGAGCCTGCAGAAAATGCGAGAGAAATGCAAACTGTATCAGCAATAGCAACTGAGAAATGTTAAAGCTTGCAACCCTACAGTCAAAATTTTTCTAGATTTCCTCGGGAGAATCTTCATTCCTCTGAGCTGGTGCAGTCTGTAGCTGACTCCTCAGCAGTCCATGGTGCACTCAGTTCTGTGGATTCAAGCTGCTTGTTTGAGACAAGGGTATTTGCTCCCACTTAATCAAATTTACACACACACTTACATTTGCACACACAGATGAGAAGTCTGTTAAAACTAACATTGCTAGATTCTATTGATAATGAGGAAGTTTTCAATAAACCTTCCCCAAATAACTAATCATTTTAGATAAAGAAGTCGCTGTGGTTTGAAATTCTTCAAAGATACCTTTTTTATTACAAAACTATTCCTGGAGTTGTTTGTTCAGGAAAACATACTCTGAAACATTGAAGACTTTATCTGAGTGCAACAGCAATTTAATAACTCCAGGACCACAGAAAATACTTAACATCTACAAATGGATAATTTCTCATTTCTACCACAAGCTCATTTTTCCGTGACGTGTTTTGCCATGTTCCTATAAAAACCTTCCGAGTATGGCTAATACAGATGAATTTTATACAGATTTCCAGTTTCCAAGTGACTTTGTTTTAAGAAACTAAATAATGACCAAGGAATGGGGATGTGCTTCATATTAAAATGTAATTATGACTTGTTGTCCTAGCACTAACAGATAATAGTAGTAAATTAATCCATCCTCTTGACAGTTGTTTCATGGTAAGAATGAGTAACCATACCAGTTTCATTGCAGGCCTACCCTATTCTTGTCCTTGGTGTGCATTTCCACAACAATGACTGTAATCATTGTAACAGTATTGTACATAATGACTCTGCTTTCTGTGATGTTACTCCTAAATTGGGTGTGAAAAATGTGAAAGGACAGATCTCGAATGGCAAAACTCTCACCAGTGAAGTAGAGTAGTAGTCTACAGAATTAATAATTGACAGAATTGATAGTGTGCTGCCACTGAACAGTAGCCTGGAATTAGAGGGCACAGTTCACATAGTCTTTCTTCATAAACAGAGGGTCTTTGCATGAAAAACTGTTGTCAGATGAAAGGCACATAGAATGAGACCTTGATGAGGTATGTGCAATTAAACACAGCATCAGTAAGTCATATATTTTTCAAAATTAAAAGGAACTCTGACAATGATGGCTACTGATTTTTTTGCTAAATACTAATATATCAGTCTCAGCCAGGATTTGCTTTTTGCTGAATTAAAATAAATGCCTGAGCCAATATGAATGATCTTTGCAGCAAATCAGGTCATTAAAAATAAAATAAATAAAAAAAAAAATAGCATTCACATGCTTCTAAGTCCTACAAAACTTCTGCAAAGATTATCTTACTAGTGTTTTAAAGTATTCAGAGTAGAAAATTATGAACACCACAGGGAATTCTGAGGAAAAAGGGAGAAAAATTGCTAAGTGCAGAGGAAGAAAATGTCCTCAAACAAGGCGTGTAGTCACATTCTGACCATAAAGGATTAAAAGAAGCCTATTCATTGATCTCCAAAAATATAGCATTAATAGAGTGGTCAGAGGATGAAAGGAAATATATAATGCTATCAGAGGAACATACAGTTGAAACGGACCATTCTCTAGCTCACTAAATCCTGGCCTCTGTTCTTCCAATCATACCTATAAATGCTTTCATAAAGACAAGGATACTTTACTTGTAAAACCCTTCAGATTTTTGTTTCCACTCTTGCTATTAGACTCTTCTAGAATCTCACTCATTTTCCTATTTCTACTCTAAATTAACTCATGACCACCAAAACCTCACATTTTCAAGTAAAAGCTGAATCAACTTTAATAGCTCTTTCCTTTGTGTTTTTTTCTGAAGTATATTTTTAGAATAATGTGTGTTCTCCACTATTATTTGTGGGAGTAATTAAACAAGCCTATTTTATTCTCTGCCACTACTCCAACCTCATATATATATTTATTTATTTATTTATTTATTTTTCATGGCCAGAAGTAGTCAGAGCAGTAAACAGATTAACATTATTTTTAACATGGTTTCAATACCACTTTATCTCTGTTTTGTTCATCTCGGCTTTTATAGCTTAGTATCACATGTACCTTCTTTAAGGCATGACAGTAGAGGCAATAATTGATCTAGTTAACAGATCTTTCTCTTCCTCTGTCACTTTAAACTGAAGAGCCAGTAGTGGACAAGAGCAATTAACTGTTCTGTAAGAGCCTTATCATATTGTTGACCTCTGTATCTCCATATCCAAATCATATTCACACTATCTATCTTTTTCCAGACAATGTTTTGATTATCCTGCACAGCTTTGCATCAGCAACATATTTGTAAAGTGTTTCTTCAATTCCAAAATCATTCAAGAAAATGTAAATCAGTCTAAGATGGGTCTGGAAGCACATCTCCTCATCTGCTCACCCACTATAAAACCTTATCTTTCAATGGAACCCTCAATCTCCTTATAGAAAGGTCATTCCCCAGTTTACATTTCCTGCAGAAATCTCAATTATTTTCAGTATGCTGAAATACCTGGTATTTTTCTAAAGTCTGTGTAACTATTTTTTATTATTATTTTTTTTTTTGTCTTTGTTTAATAGTATCTTAAATACAGATGCTCCACTTGTTATTTTTAGTCCTCATGATACTGTTCAAATTTGGAAGCCCTTGCTAACAGACATCTGTGGTTTCAGATGGTTTCCTTGGATATTTTTCGTACTCTAAGAGAAAATTTTCAAGATTCCCGACTTGAAGGCAACCTAAATTGAAATAATTCCTTTTCCATGTCCTCAACCATGTTAACCATCCTTCTTCACTCATATTCAACATCTTTCTCTATTTTCATTAAGGAAATTAAGATTCATCTAGATTATGCAATAAAAAATTCTATCATAATGCTCGAAGACAGTGTTCAAGGGGAGAAGAGCTCCAGTTTAGTGGTATTTTAATGCAAATTTAAAACTCAAGCTATGCAGATAACATTACATAAGATAAAATAGACTTCATTTGGCCAGCCTACAACTGCATGAGCATGAACTTTACACCAGAAGCTCATTATTTATGTCAAAACGTAAATGCAGGGTTAGTTTTTCTCATGGGCTTCTGAGGAAATGTAACAAGTAACACACCTTCTGCCACTTCTTATGAAGAAAATCACAGGGGTTTTCCCTTTGGAGGAGTCCTTTTCTACCCTATCCTTAGAGTGGAATTGATACTTTATGGAGTCTAGACTGTATTTTTAATATTTCCTAAAGAAGAACAGACTCTTATTCTGAAATAGTCTGAAAAAATCTTTAACAGTGATATATTTAAGCCACATGCATCTGGGGTTCTAGAATCTGATATAGATTATATAATAAGCTGCACTTACACACAAACAGCATACCTAGACAACTGGCAAATTCACTGTGTGTGTGTATGTAGCAATCCAGGAGGTCCCTTAAAAAAGGAGATGCCATCTAAGGAGATACTTCATCTTACACACAATCAATGCTACATTTTAGGGAACCGAAAAATCAAAACCAAAAGCAAAAAGAAGACAGTGACCTTACCTTTCCTACATACTGAGGATCTGGTCCCATGTGTTCTTCTAAAACAAAGAACTGATTCCACACCCATCCACGCTTGGGACGATGATGCACTTCTGTTTCACCTTCTACAAGTTTGGTTTGATTTCTGGTCACCTTGATGGAGCCATGGTGAGCAGCTCCATAACACCTCTGCACAAAACAGAGACAAACTAGGACTGGGCAGATACAAGATGTACTTGTAATTCTCATTGTAGGATAAGCTTCCTGTTCAAGGTTTTCTTTCTCTTTAATAAGTTCCCAAGACAGAAGGTGAAGCCTGGTTCAGAAATACAGTCCAAAAAAGGGTTTTCTGCTTGTTCATGATTTAGCTGCCCATTTGGGAAAGCTCAAATTACATTTACATTATGAAAAGCTGACTGAAAAATTCATATGTCTTCTGAGGTCTTCACAATAGAGTTCCACAGCCGACCATTTTCTATATGATAAGGAAAGAAAAGAAAGCCACTTACTCATCACTAAAACCAGCAATTTTTGCATTTCTCACCTTTGATTATGCTCACAGCTATACTAGCCAGTCTCTGAAAGCCTCTCATTGTGACTAAAATGTCTTTTCAATCCTTCCTGTAAAATTGTTTTCAGATTGTTTTATTAAAATACCTTAAGAAGTAACATGGCTTTTCCAACCTGTGAAAGTGTTCACATTATTAAAAACTTGATGATTCAGGATGGCCTTTGCTTGCTGATCTGGTCTAACAGTAAATGAAAATCAATGCTACAGTGTCATTAGATAGATAGTGATTGGTAATTAATTTCACATGATTTCTTGATCTTCCATATACCACACAGATACCCAACATGGTGAAAAATACCAAGACTAAGATAGGTTTCAAAATAAAGCCTCCAAAATGGGCTTTGAGGATTATGAGTCAATATAAGAGCGTACTGACAGGAACTTTCAGTCAAAATGTGCCTTTTTACTCCCTGTGCTTTCCATAAATTCCAACCAATATCATATTGGAACTTCACAAAATTATTTCATACTGACAGAAAGTCCAGATACTGTTGTTTAGAATATCAGTATTATTTTTATTAAAGCTTATAAATTCCTAATGACAATATTTTCTCAGCTTCTCGAAAGCAGAATGTAACCTTTTATAGTAAAATAACAAATTTTAAAATATCTGTGGTAGTTGATGTAGAGCCTAAAGAAAAGTACTTTGAAAGAAATAAAATAACTCTTCAGCCTCAGAGAAATAGTTGCTTTAAGGAAGCAATTTGTTCATTTATCTGAGGATATCAAAGATCAGTCAATCTGGAATCTGAAAACATGCAACTAAATCTATAAAAATGAACACTCTTCCAATATTGGAATTGAGTATCATAAAGCAATTACAAGTTCTGTAAATAGAACCACGATTAAACTAATTTTGTTTCTAAGTCTCATGGGAAAGCAATAGAAGAAATTCAAAATTTCTAAAAGATTTTCAAGCAAGAAATTAGAAATCAGATGTTGGAAAAACACTGCAGTGAAGAAGATAATCAACTCTCTTTTAGCTGCAGATTTTATTTTTATTTTTTTTCCCTTATGCTTGTTTCAGATCCATAATAGTACCAGAAACCCCACCATGGTTTCTTCTGTATTCATCCAAGTACAAATTCTCATCAGAGTAATGGAAGAATACTTCAAGACTGCTGTGCATTAGAAATATCCAGAAAAGATGCAGTGGGTTATGTGAAAGTAAAGAAAGAAATACAGTCTTTTACAGCTGGCAGGACTTAAAAAATTAACTCTGTATGGCATTTTCCACTGAGGAAAGAAATTTTTTGACAATTAATATTATCATGGTATTTTTTTTTCCCCATATCTCCCCCCAACTGCTATAAAGACCAAATTATCGGGCTCTTAAAAACTTCATGCCTCAGCTCAAAACAGATTAATACAGTAGGATGTATTATTACCTTCCTTAGGTATGAATGTGGTTTAATAGGAATTTTTCACAGGTAGATGTTATATGAAGTTTAAGTTATGCCAGAAACTGAATCCAGACATTCTGGTTCTCACATTAGTTTCTAACTATATACTCTTGCATGGTTTCTTTGCCTTTCTTCATTCTTTCCAGATTCTTGCTATAAAACACTTTCTGCCTTAAGGCATGCAATTTCCTTCTGCAGATTTCTGTATTTACAGATGAGCTATTTAAATAGGTTAGTCATTGTTATACTTCAGACATACTGTAAAATTAAGGACTACGTCAAAAAATAAGAAGGCTGAAGTTTTACCTATTCAAGTATTATTTTTCTTTGCTTTGTTTCCATCTTGGGAAATGCCTGGAAGCAGTTCATAAAACTATAAGCAGTGCATACTAAGTTAAAAATGGTGTATGCAGTGCATTGAGTTTTCTTAGAATGGCGTATTTTAGATGTATTTGAAATCATTACTACTGAAATTTCCTTTATAAAAACTGTGAGAATGGTGGTAGTGGAAAATTCTTTCCTTTTAAAAGAGTAAATATAAATGAGTGCAGAAGATATCAACAAATCAAGATTTACTATATAGAACTTTCTTTTTTCCCACGTCTCAGAAGACATCCACAGGAAAAAAAACAAAAAACAAACAAACAAAAAAAAACACACACAAAAAAAACCCCAAACCAACAAAAAAAGAAAAAAAACCACAACAAACAAGCAAAACCCTATATTGCTTAACTCATTTCAGAGATTAACTGCTAAACCCCTGCCCCCAAAATTTCAGTTTTAAAATTCTTTGTTCTGAACAAATGTTTTATAGTAATAATAACAGTAAAAGTATTATAGCAGCAAGGTCCTTCATCTGAGTTGGTGCAGGCACAAGTACAGGCTGGAGGGAGAATGGATAGAGAGCAGTCCTGAGGAAAAGGACCTGTGGGTGGTAGTAGACGAGAAGCTCAGCATGAGCCGCCAGTTTGCGCTCACAGCCCATGAAGCCGGTCTCTTCCTGGGCTGCATCAAAAGAAGTGTGGCCAGAAGGTTAAGGGAGGAAATTCTCCCCCTATGCTCTGTTCTTGTGACACCCTGCCTGGAATGCTGCATACAGCTCTGGAGCCCTCAGCTCAGGAATAATACAGACTTGCTGGAGAGGGCCCAGAGAAGGGCCACAAAGATGATCAAAGGGCTGGAGCACCTGTTATGAAGACAGGCTGAGAGAGTTAGGGCTATTCAGCCTGGAAAACAGAAGGCTCCAGGGAGACCTTATTAGCAGCCTTCTAGTACATGAAAGGGGCTTACAGGAAATTTGGGAAGGAGTTTTTTCAACAGAGAGGATAGTGATAGAACAAGGGTTGATAGTTTTAAACTGAAAGAGGGTAGAATTATATTAGGCATCAGGAAGAAATTCTTCACCATGAGGGTGGTAAGGCACTGGAGTATGTTGCTTAGGGAGATTGTTGATGCCCCCTCTCTGGAGGTGTTAAAGGTCAGGTTGAATGGGGCTTTGTGCAGCCTGGTCTAGTCTGAGGTGTCCCTGTTCATAGCAGAGAGGTTGGAACCTGATGATCTTTAAGGTCTCTTCTAACCTTAACCATTCTATGATTCTATGATTCAATAGTTTGCTTCCTGTTATAATCATACTTAGAAATTCAGGCCTCTGCTGTTCTTGAAGTCTGTGTGAAATCTGGAGAACCATTTTGATTATGACAAATTCAACAATTAAAAGTGAGGATTCTCAGCCTTGAAGATTTTTTGTAGTGTTTTCACTCTGGTAAACATCTTTTAAAACCAAAGCCTAATTAATGCTAAGTATAAAATTTCTCATTCTTACTCAGCACCCTCCCACTAAAGGTCTAGCATAACCGTCTGTTAAAACCTACCCCAACCCCCAAATGAAACTTCAGCTTTCCATGAAGACAGCAAAGTTTATCTACAGGGGGAAGTACAGATGGAAAGACCTTTAACATTTAACATAGAAGAGACAGTAAAGCAAATAATAGACAAACTTGAACTGTTAATGGAAAAAAAAAAAGAAAAGAAAAAAAAAACAAAAAAAAGAAGAAAAAGACCGAACTTTCTGAAATCCCTTAAATGATTGCCTTAAGATAACATAGCGAGATGCTTACTGCTCAGTGCTCTTATCTGCAACTTCAGATTATGTGTCCTACATTACAGTTTTTGTTACACTGGTGTATGCAACTGCATAGACTTGTTTTTTTGCTGTCTCCTGGAAGCCCTCATGAAAATGCGTTGTGTATCTCCAGAGACTGTCAGACTGAGGTAAAATTAATAATTAAACAAGATGACATGAGAAAGTTCCACCTGTATTGTTGGAAATCATTACAGTACAGTAGTTACTGCTTAGTGTGGCAGCAGGTTACTATAATGAATTCCTAGAAAACCAGTATGAGTACAGTGATGTAAAATGTGTATGCTTCACCATCATGATGAGATGTATCCTTAGTAGCAGAGACTTGTCCTGAATCTCAGTCTCCCCCATCTCACATAACCAAATTGACCACATACTTGAATTAATCTGAATGATTCAGTTTTGCAGATGCACATTCAGCATAGCTCTACACATATTTTGTCATATCTCTTGGGGACCTTTTTCAGTTCCATGGTAATGCAGTGACAGTTATGGAACATGTAATAAATTGCATTTATTCTATACTTTCAGACTTCTCCATCTAAATTCTGCCTTTATAATTCCTCCCTGTCAGAACAAGTACTTCTGTTCTCAAAATCTGACCGGCTTCAATTCAACATCATTATTTAGATATAAAAAATCAGGCAGAAAAATATTTCTTTCTTCCTGCATTGCCTGTCCTTAGTTTATTGCCAGTGTCATATCCTTTAGCACTACAGAAATAATGACATATTGACATGGAGACCAAAGACAGAAAAATGAGTTAGTATCAGAAAGAAAAATTGAATGTTATTTTGTGTTTTATCCTTCTGAAGAAGAGGTTGATAGATTGCCAAGAGAATATATAGTACTCCTGTGGACCTCTAGTAATTGGCAGAAAAAAGTGAAATTTGTCGGGAAATATTTCATCTATTGTTGATCTCTATTCTCTTTTCCCAAGGATGCTAAAGCTGAGCTATGGCACTTAACTTGAAAAAATGAAGCACCAAGTTTCTCTCAGCCTGTGTACTATAGACAAGATATATAATCATTAGTGCTTTCTAACAAAGACTGCCTTCTATAAATGCTAGTCAATCTAGCAGAAATAGTGTCAAAACTGTTTTGGAAAGCATTTAAAAAATATATTGCATGTTGT